TAAAAGCGTTCATGATTAAACCTACTCTTCGGGATCGAATCAAGGATGCACAGGATAAGGAACCATTTTTGCAGAAGATTAAGGCTGAAGTTGGTACAAACAAACATATAGGATTTGAAGTATTTGTAGATAAAACACTGATTTTTAAAGGAAGATTGTGTGTACCTAAGGATGAAAGTATAAGAAAAGAAATATTGGAAGAGGCTCACTCCACCCCGTATGTTGTACATCCAGGCGGTACGAAAATGTATCGAGATCTTCGAAATACATTTTGGTGGAGAAACATGAAGAGATGAATTGGTCTATTCATGGAGAAATGTTTTTTTTAGCAAGTTAAGGCAGCATATCAAAGGTCATCTGGACTGCTGAAACCGTTGGATCTTCCAGAATAAAAATAGGAACACATAGCAATGGACTTTATGGTAGGCCTTCCGAGATCAGCAAGAGGTCACAATACTATTTGGGTAGTGGTTCATCGTTTGATGAAGTCAGCCCATTTTCTGCTAATCAAAGTAAATTTCAATGCGGAGCAACTCGTACAGTTATATGTCAAAGAGATAGTCAGATTGCATAGAGTTCCAGTCACATTGTTTCAGGTAGAAACTTGAGGTTCACATCAAAGTTTTGGGAAAGCTTGCAGGCAGTCATGGGGATGAAATTGGAGTTTAGTACTACTTATCATCCACGGATGGATGGATGGACGATCAGAAAGAACCATTCAAACACTTGAAGATAAGTTGCGGGCATGCATTTTAGATTTCGACGGTAATTGGGAGACACATCTACCACTGGTGGAATTTGCTTACAACAATAGCTTTCAAGCTACTATAGTCATGACCCTTATGAAACTCTTTATGGTAGGAAGAACAAATTCCCTATCCACTAGGACGAAGTCGAATTGAATAGAATTTCAGGCCTTGAAATCATTGAACGAATAGTTGGGACGGTTGACAAGATTGGAGCAAGAATAAAGACAATACAAGACTGATAGAAAAGTTATGCTGATGGTAGAAGAAATGATTTGAAATTTTAAGTGGGTGACAAAGTTTTTCTGAAAATAGCACCAACGAAAGGTATATTGAGATTTGGTAAAAAGGGAAGTTGAGAACACGGTTCATTGGACATTTCGAAATTTTGGAAAGCATTGGTATTGTAGCTTACAGACTTATCTTACAACCTGAACTTGTAGCAGTGCATAATGTGTTCCATGTTTGGATGCTCAGAAATTATGTTCATGATCCCAATCATGTAGTGGATTATCAGACATTGGAGGTACAAAAAAATTTATCATATGAAGAAATCACAACGATAGTTTTGGATGGAAAAGTGCACGAATTAAGAAATAGAGAAGTTCCACTTGTCAAAGTTCAATAGCGAAATCATGGACCTGACGAGTCAACTTGTGAGAAGGAAGAAGAGCCGAAAGCCAAGAATCTAGAACTCTTCGATTAGCCAAAGTGATTTTCGAGGACGAAAATATTTAATGAGGAGAGATTGTAAAGTCCCCAAAATTTTATAGAATAGAATTTAATTATTCTAGATGCCATATTTTATATTTTTTAAATTGGGGAACTAAAATGATATATGTATTAATTCAATCTTATTTGGGTCAAATATTTAGATTTTGATATAGCGATGATAAGTATATCAATATNTTTGTATGCTATATTTTAATGTTTTGGAGGTTAGGAACTAAAAAAAAAAAAATACATTCATTTAATTATATTTTATTTGGGTCAAATATTTAAATATTGATAGAGTAATTATAAATATATCAATATTGGGCTCGTTGGATAGCTCGTATTTAATCATATATATTAGGCTCGAAAAAAGTTAATTTGAATAAGCAAAGCCTAAGTTATTGAAGTTTAAAGAAATTGTCATTAAATATTATTTTATTACTTCTCTTTTTTTATTTTTTTAAGTTGTGAAAGTATGGGCAGGCACGTGGTTGTTTGACTTGGATACAAGGTTTGGGTAAATTGAATTTCCACTTTCGATAGAACACTTGTACTATATTTATCCATTCATGCAACCGATTTTTCCGTAGAAAAAGTCAGATTTATTTCACCACATAATATAATTTTATAAACACGACAGCAAGCTAAAAATAAAGTTGGAATGTGATTCTGGTTTTGTTTCTCAAAAAATTTATTTCATGAAGTAGAATAATAGGATAGTGTTGATTTTATCCATTTAAATTAGGAATAATTGAAACAGCGGTCTCTTACCTTTTCATTTTTTGCAGACTTTTTCCTAATCTTTATTTTGTGCCAGCAACAATCTCAAACCTTTCAAAAATATGCACCGGAGGTCCAAATGGATGGATTTGACCGTTAGTTGACCAAGAAAAGTGAATTTTGACCAAATTTAAAAGGGTAAAATAGTAACTTGATAATTATCATATTTAATAAATTAACCAAAAAAAAATCAAAAAATCAGGAAAACAAATAAAAAATCCAAAAAAATAAAAATAATAATAATAATAAGTGTTGTCTCCTTTACCCCACCCCACCCACCTTCTTTCCCACTGAATCGGCCATAGCACCGCCACCTATCCATCGCCGACCACCCTCTTAGTTTGTCTCCTTCAGCTCAAATTCAAGGTTTTGCTTCTTAGTTTCTGGCACAAGTTCCAAAAGGGTTTTGTTTCCTTCAACTCAAATTCAAGATTTTCCTTCTTAGTTTCAGGCACAAGTTCCAAAGGGTACTAGAACGGGCTTTAACCCACTTTGTTTCAAAAATCACTCAACTTATATCATGATTACGGACTACTCACTAAATTTCAACATGCTACACACTGGTCACTGAATTTCCTTCGTTTGCACTCCGTCTATCACCAAAAAAAAAAAAAAAA